GGGGTGCTTGGGGGGCGGGGGTCGAAACTGGTGGTATTCTAATTGACATTAGAATATTTTGCTGAGACTTGTGGTCCTGTATAGCTGGTGGGGTTCTGCATTGACGTATAATGATTATAGAGCAATGCAGAATACCACCAACTATGCAGGACTACAAGTCCCAGCAATACATTATATTAGTAAGTAGAGATGCACCAGTGCCAATACTCGTGAACATGCCCCGATACTGAGTGCAGATACCAGCACTTGCGAAACTACCAGGGTTGTATCAGTAGGGTATTCCTTACCCCTTAAATTCCAGTATAAATACCAGTAGGGTATTCCTTACCCCTTAGATTCCAGTATAGGCACCAGTAGTGTATTCCTTACCCCTTAGATTCCAGTATAAGTACCAGTAGGGTGTTCCTTACCCCTTAGATTCCAGTATAAGCACCAGTAGGGTATTCCTTACCCATTAGATTCCAGTATAAGCACCTGTAGGGTATTCCTCACTCTTAGATTCCAGTATAAGTACCGGTAGGATATTCCTTACCCCTTAGATTCCAGTATAGGCACCAGTAGGGTATTCCTTACCCCATAGATTCCAGTATAAGCTCCAGTAGGGTATTCCTTACCCCTTAGATTCCAGTATAGGCACCAGTAGGGTATTCCTTACCCCTTAGATTCCAGTATAGGCACCAGTAGGGTATTCCTTACCCCAACGCCCCCCTCCCGCCCCAGAATGCAGTGAGCCGGCCGGGATGCAATCCAGTGCGGTCCAGCACCGAATCGGCCCGGAAAGCACTGGAACTGGTGTTAGCTAGCCCCGAAAGCCATAGCATGCAGAGAGGGGAATTTATCAAAACTGGAGCAGACAGAATGAGGAGCAGTTGCCCACGGCAACCAATCAGCATCCACCTTTTATTTTCAAACCTTTACTGAACAAATTGAAGAGAGAAGCTGATTGCTCCAGATAATTCTGCTTCGGTTTTGATGAATTCCCCTCATACCTATTTTTTTAATATATATTAAATAAACAGTATCAAAATCATGTTTTTTTGGGGGGGAGGGGGGGAGGGGCACCTTAATAGTTTCTGGCATTGGGGCCCTGAGGTTTCTAGTTACTCCTCTGCTAGAGAACATGATATTTGTTGGGCAAAGATAGGTCCCAAAATGTCCTTTTGGTGGTTGTCAATGTCTGGCCATGGTCTTATTTTTTGGGGTTAACTTTAAACCCTTTTGGGGGGTCAGTCCATAATGTTATCAGGGATGGAAAGCAATCTCATATATACTTATCTTTTTACAGGGACTACCTGGGCCTTCAGGAGAGCCTGGCCCAAACGGCCCGCCCGGACGAAGAGTGAGTTCTATTGTCTGTACTATCTGCTTTGGTGGCTCGCGTCTCTGGTGGGAATGCTCTTCAAACAGTTTATTTCTCCTGGTCTTCTTTTTTTTAGGGGCAACTGGGGCCTGCAGGCAAAGAGGGCCGTCAGGGTGAAAAAGGAGGAAAGGTGAGTGACACTGAACAGCGTGTACAGCGCGTTCTTCAACCCGGGATGAATACTTCAATAACTATCTGTAATGTTTCCGGTGTAATAGGGGGAGCGCGGAACTGAAGGCATTGTTGGAAAGACGGGACCAGTGGGGGCACAAGGATCCCCCGGGAAACCTGGATCTGAGGGTATGAGGGGCATTCCAGGACCTGCTGTAAGTCACCTCTCAGGGACAGTGTCTCAAAGTCTAGTTAGGTCTTTATAGTCGTAGGCTTTCAGGAAGCTGATTGGTCTGAAGCAGAAATATGATTGGCCATAGACATGAGCGAATGGTTAGATTCATAATCCAATACAATGTCGTTGTGTGACCATTTCAATGCTAATGCAGGAAGGATTTTGATGCATGAGGGCACAGAAGGTTTAGGAGACAATGGGGCCCTTAGGTAAGTGTTAGCATTTGCTCCCCATCCCTTTAATTGACATTCAGGGCAGCCATCAGAAATTTTGGGGCCCCTTACACAGCTTTAGGCCGGGCCCCCCCCC